ACTATATCAGGGCCGGCTCTGGGTATTCATTTCATTTAGGCCTATATTAAAAATATTTCAGTACATCGCATCTGTTTTACAAGGAAAGTAGTGAAATATTAAAGCGAGTGTAAATAACTAATTTCATGGAATGCAACCAGAAGTTTTCCTTTCCATTTATTTCCACTCGCTCTTTGGTGCCCCAATATAAAATGGAGCCCATGATGACCTACAAGGCGGGCTGGCCCGGTACTCTATGCATATACACATACACAATGTTCATATATGCATAGTGTGTGTGTATATATATATATTAGATAGGATTTGTGTGGGTGTTGAATAGTTATTAGGTCATGAATGAGTCACTCACTGCTGCTACCTGCGTGAGCCATAGTGCACGTGGGCTTTTGTTCCAGAAACAATTTATATTAAACAAAACAAAAAAAAGCAGAAACTTCATCGCAGCTTCCAAATAGGTGGAACATGAACTTCAGCAAACATAAGGGCCCTGGTATGTCTCACACATACTGAAGCGATCACAGATTTACTCCTCACATTTACTGTGCTGTAAAGGGGGTAATTTAATGTTTGATGAAGGCTGACACAAAAGCCCTCATGCGCTGTGGCTCACGGGAAGGACGGCGGGGAAGTCGAGGTCAGACTCGTCTTACTTGTGGAGGCCCGAGACGTTCTGCCTCTTCTTATGTTTCCTCTGCTCCTCGGCCTCGAACTGCAGCTGCCTCAGCAACTCTGCGGCGTTCATCTCCTTACGGCTCAGAGGCACAAGCTGCGCAAAGGGTGCATTCAGGAAACATAACCAAAGCATTTAAAGGAGCCTGTGCGATTGACAAAAATCTTAGTAATCAGTCATGCCATGGACGACGCGCAAAGCTGCAGAACACAAGCCAGCAGCCTGCTCCCACGACATAAGGCTTGTGGTTTTGTGCAGAATATAAATAAAGCACTTCAATCTAACAAGATGCCAACTGTCACTTTAAACAAGAGGTGCCACATTTCAGATGAACACCCAGAATGTCTTTACATGCAAAGGACACAAATTTACACAGACTATCTTCTTCTAGTACAGGAAGCTGCGGCTGCTGGAGGAGATTCACTGCCAGGTGGAGGGTAGCAAAGACGTTCTAAGCACTCATTTATTATTAAGACTCACTGTAACATGATGGTACTGGGTACCTAATTAAACTATTGGTTTCAGAAATTGGATTCTGCACAAACCCTAGGAACTTGAAGCACATCGTCTATTAATAATTAATCTCTTCTGCAACTCACTTTTATTGCGAAAATAATAAAACCAAACACATGCTTAATTCCTGCAATAATCTAGCAAGGTCCATTACAGTGATGATTCTGACGAATGCAAACGTTACATCAGATTAAATAAGAAACAGATGAGGCCTGATTACATATAAAACTCTTAACTGGATCTTGATTAATTTTACTGCATTAAATTCCAGAGATTCTAATAAGAAGGTCAAAAAAAGTTTTTCTAAATTTAATCATCTTTTTTCGCCCCATTTTCCCCGCATACAGTATTTCCATCCACACTTCACAAATAGAGATCAGACATGAAGTGACAGGAGTTAGATTCTTATGAATATTAATAGGTGCATTTCACAAGGGATTTCTCCTTTCCCAAAAAACAAATAATTTTTATAGCAGCCTGCCTTAAGTGTTCTTGGAGACCTGGCATCATATAGAAGGGGGCCCTTAAGCCGATGGAGGTCGTGAGTAGCAATGGTGGCAGAGGTCCTTCTCTCACATATCTCATCATGGAGCTTGATCTGGAAGCAAAACATAAAAATTACGTCTCATTATATTACTCGATTTCTTTTATAGTTCATTACAAAGATTGCTATTAATCTAGCACTACAAGGTTGTCAGGTGTATGAAATTTGGTCGTAAATGTGCGCTGTGTTCGGAAAATGACATTTTTTTGCCGTAATATTTACGAATGGCCAAAATCCGAGGTAGTCGCTAAAGGAGCACCGAGCTGTAGTGTCATACAGCGGCTTTGAAATTGTCTGACCTAGGGCGCCATCTGGTGGTAAAGCGAGTATAATCATTTGCGTCTTTTATAACAAGTCGATTTTAGGTTTAGGTTTATTTTATTTACCTGTGCCATCAGAAACCTTTTAAGAGCATTCCCCTGCTTCAGGTTCATACCCTTAACAATGCAGCAGACGATGTATGGACGAACATCTTTAACCTGTGGTGCCACTTTAATGGTAAATGCTGCGTCGCTATCGTGCACTTGTAGAACTTTCACCACCATTTGGTTTAAGTCGTCCAGTTCTTCATCCTCTTCCTTATTCTTTTGGTGCTTATCCGATCTCTTCTTTCTTCTTTTGTCTTTTGTATTTTCATCCTTCGCACTGGCCTCTTGTTGTTTCCCTCTACCTTTTCCCCTGCCACCCGCCCGCAGGTAGTCCAAAATAGATTTAGTCTGACAGCCGTTCACCATCTTCTCTAGACGCTTATCTTTTAGTTTGTTTCCTCGGAAGTTTACTTCCTTTAGCTTAGAACAGTCGGCCAAATCGAATGGGATTTCAGTAATCTTGTTGTTGGAAAGGTCCACATTCTGTAGGACAAAAAAAGCAATAATGTTAATGAAAGCCAACTCTTCGTCCAGTTCAACTGCGAATCGAGACTCATTATTATTATTAATAATAATCAGCCTCATCCATCTTATTAACCCCCCCGACAAGTTTGACCGTTGCCACCACCTCCGGTTAGACTTTACAGCGATCACCCATCATCCCGGTTATCCCTCATCCAACTCCCTGAAATCACTACGCCTAAGGTGGGATGAAAAACCAGTGAAGTTTTGCATGTAAAATGTTCAGATTCATTTATCAACGAAATTATACCAACCTTGAGGGCAGATAAGGCGTATATATTCCCACTCAGTTCTTCAATCGCATTCTCCGAGGCAATAATTGTGCTGAGGTGTTCCAGATCAGAGGAGAATAAATCTTCGGGAAGGTTACTAATCTCATTTTTGGAAACGTTTATGGACACCAGTTTTACACACTTGCTCAAACCATCAGGTAGGCTTCTTATCCTATTGCAGCTCACGTTGAGGGTGTTCAGCTCAGAAAGATGCGACAACTCGACGGGCAAACATGTCAAATCATTGACTGATACATCTAAAACTTTGAGCGATTTCAAATTTCCAATCGCTTCAGGGACAGAGCACAACTTATTTCTGCATAAAATTAAGCTCTGAAGATTGATCAGATTCGCAATTTCCGGGTGGACCTTAGTCAAATTCGCGCACTGACTGATTTCCAGGTAGTTCAAAAGCGACAAGGAGTAGATACTGACATCCAGACCTCCAGAAACTATTTTCTTGTCGATGCTGGGACCCTGTAACACGAGTTCACGTCTCTTTTCCGAGGCAGCTTTCTGTATTTCAATCCACTGATCCTCAGAGCACTTTGCAGCTGCCATGTTCTTCTGAGTGACATCCGGAAGTGATCTGAAACCTTTCCGGGGCATTACAGGATCCGAATCAACCGTGGTAGGTCGCGCATGCGCCACCGTGGAAAGTCAGACAGGCAACTAAAAACTGACTAAAAAAAAATTAAAAACTAAAAGCAATACAGGAAACGTTTATGTCCAGCTCCTGTGAGTGGCTTTGCCAATGTCTTACATAAAATTAAAGATAATGAGCCATTTTATGAAAATTTATGCAGATTGCATAAGGGTGCAGATTTGGCAGATGTTCTAAAGTCCTTTAATACTTGAATTGCTTTATATTGTAATAGTTTAACACGGTTGACTCAGATAGGCAGCGCATGCGCGACTCAATTGACTCAATTGACATCGGAATGTACCACAAAAAAGGAGGCGTGACAACGCACACCTTCGACCCTTACTACGTAGCTTACGTAGTAAAAATTGAAATACATGTTCGTACAAATTGCATTTCCAACAAAATGCCCGCCAGAATTCACCATGGTGTTGACCCCTGCTTAGTACCCATTTGGTTAATTTACTGTATTTAGTCTTGTATTTAGTGTTTTGGAAAACAAGCCTAAGTATATGTGTGTTAAATGTCTTGAGTGACAAACGAACATAGAAATATCCATGTTCTAATACTCAGCACTGAAATTGTAACCCTAACATGATATCAAAAGTAAAAATAAAACCACTGAATCCTTGAAACTCGTGCAGCGGACCCACCGTAAGGACTACATGTACCGTTATCCCCAGCATCTGCGCCAGTGATTGCAACTGCGCGTGCGTTAAGCTTTGGGTCAGCTGTTGTCAACCGGTGGTTATGGAGATATGGGTAAAGTAACAAGCAAATGCCGATGTGGTTGGTCACTATATTGGGCTACTTTCGCATAAAGTGTGGAAATGCTTTGGGTTGGTGCATTTATTTTTATGTTCTGTCCGTACGTACCTCATTATCTATTTTGAATAGTGATGCAGTCGCATCAGAATTCCACATGATAAACGAATGTGTTGCGATCTGAATGTTGCTTACTGGGATTATTATCAGGTCGTTTTTGTTCGCTTATGGATTTGAAATGTATAAGGTGGATATGTATCACCACCTACGTATACGGATTTTCTAATCGTATTGTTTTACCGTTCTTTTCAGGATTGCAGCTGTCGGATTATTTCTAATGTGACTTGATCTGACATGGTCATGACTTGAGGAGGTGGTGCCTTGACATTTCGTCCAGATTTAATTTCCCTTGAGTGTTATCCGAGGTGAGAAATAAACGTACTCGTAAAATTAAAGCCAATATGTTTACCCACACCGCTACTTTGGCCGCTAAACGCTTTTTACCCATTCTGAAATTATTATGCAAGTGTAATAGTTTAAAATATTTTAAGAACTTGTAGACAGAATGGCTCACTGTCTATCCTGTACTAAGGGCAATGTAATAGGTTTATTTATACCTATGTTATGCAACGCTGTGTGACCTCTGTTTTGCAGACAATAGCAAACAGATAAAATCACTGTCTGATGTTATTATGTAAGTTTCATAGCGTCAAACAGGAAGTAAAGCTGCAAATATTTCTATATTTACAAATCAAAATGGGTGAAAAGAAAGACTTGTCAGCAAGTGAGAAAGATAAAACGGTGCAGTTATTGGCTGATGGCAAAACAACATTAGAGATTTCAAAGATATTACACAAAGACCACCGAACTGTGGAAAAAAGCAGTCAAAGGTGTGAACAAACAGAGGACACGAACCAAAGGAAAAGGATTTAAGAATATTAGTGCCAGTGACAGCTGTAAACTGAAGCAGATTCTTGCTGAATTTCACTTACTGAACAGTTCAGATGTCGTGAAGAACTCCGTTGTGTTGGGTGTGAAATGTGGCAAACGCACAATCCTTGGAACAGTCAGGAAGTATATCAGCAGACCAGCCCTGAGTAAAGCACACGCTCAGAAGTGTTTAAAGTGGGCCAGAGAAAACTTAGAAACTGACTTTACTGAAGTGATTTTTACTGATGAATGAAGTGTGATGCTGGATGGCCCAGATAGATGGTGCATAGGGTTAGAGGGAAGCTCCTGCTAGCCAGAGGCGACATCATGGAGGTGGTGGGTTTATGATCTGAGCAGGGATTTTTGGCACCAAAGGCACTGGGCCGTTTAAAGCTAATGACGGGGTGAAGCTGAACAGTGTGAACCAGGGTTTGGGCCATTTCGGAATGCGTTCATCAATTGCAATCCAAATCAGGAAGGGGAACTGGAGTTTAAATCTTCCTGAAATTTGAATCCAGTTCCAATTCTGTTCCCCATAGTTTTTTTTCCTAATCCCAACTCCAGTTCCATTTCCTGATTTGGATTGGAATTGATGAATGCATTCTGGAATGGCCCCCACCCAGACGTGAACTATGGCACATGACCGGAAGGCACTTTTACATGGTACAAGTCCCAAAGCCGAACTGCATCTTTATGCAAGGCAGTGCCCCTCCACATGCTTCTCAAAGTGCGACAGACGTCCGGCTTGAAAAGGATTCTCTACAAGCAAGCTGATGACTTGGCCACCATCTTCACCCGACCTGAACTCCATCAAAAACATGTGGGTGCTGGTGGAAAAAAAAGCGATTTACGGGGAGATGCAATGTGGGAGGACGTCAGCTGTGGGACGCCACCCAAAGTGCAGTCCATGCTGTTTTGCATATTATTTCACAGTTCTACCCATTTAGACATTAAGAGATGCCTTGCATTATATCATCAGACAGTCATTTTCAGGTTTTTTGTTTAACTTTGTTTTGTTTTTAATATTCATTTCAATAGCTTTGATTTTCCAAAAAATTTCCTCTGATAGCCTTTTTGACATGTATAGTCATTGATCAGTTTGGTCAAACTGTTCAAAACATATTTACTATTATCACATGTGCATAATAATTTCAGACCAGTGTTACTATAGTTTAGATTTTTTAAGTTTTTATGTTATTGTTTCAATTTTCATTTGAAATCCAGTTTTGTTACTTTTCATTGTGGTTCTGTTAATTTTAATTTGAAAGATATCTTTCTATTTTTCTATTTTTTTTTGTTTCGGTTTTAGTCATTTTCTTTCTGGGTAAAAATCGGAAGTCAAGCTATTTTATGTGCCTGTTGTTTAGAGAATCCTACATGATTACACAGTGCACATTATGTCAACTAGATTCAGAAGCAAGATTCATAGTTTTCAGTTATTTGCAGTTTTGAAATTTTATTTTCCTATCATTTCAATTTACAATAATGTTTTCTTTTAGTTTTCATTAATGAAAACAGCCCTGTTTCGGACACACTGTAAATTAATGTTGTTGACGATAAAAGTTACGTGAGAATGTGATCGCAGCCACAATGGTCCACTGACTGGCTCTGATGTCACTTCCTGGTTGACCAAAGCTGAACAGAAGAAGAGTTTAATGTTAAGTCAATCTGCTACCTTTAACAAAGAATTGTAAAGGATGTTTATACATATAACCCGGAGGTACTGAATATACATTTGAGTTGAATAATTGGAAGTTCTGGAAGGCAGCACGGTTTCTCAGTGCTATCACTGTCTCCATGTGGTTTGTGTGAGGAGTGTACATATCCCATTGTCATGTAGGTTTGCTCTCACAGTCCTAAGACTTGTAATTAGGCAAACTGATATCTATAAATTGCCTGTAGTGTCCGTCCGTCCGTGTGTGCGTCCGTGTGTGCGTCCGTGTGTGCGTCCGTGTGTCCGTCCGTGCGTACGTGTGTGCGTGCCTCCAAATGGGCTGGAGTCCTTTCCAATGTGCACGGGTGTCCTAGAAGTAAATAAAATTGTTGCTAGCAAAAATAATACATGATGACGCATCTGTTTGTTGTTCATGTGTTTTGTATGTCAGGACCGTTCCCCGCCCTGTCTTGTTCCTGTCTGTTGTCTCCCTGTTTGGCCAGCAGCCATCACTGGCCATCCAGGCCTTTTCCCTGTGTCTCGTTAGGGTTAACTTTAGCCACTGAGCCCTGCGCTGGCCCAGGGAGCAGGGAAACAGAATAGGAACAGAACAAAAAGCTACACCTAATCAAACAGGGGAAAAGGGACGGGATGCCTGCTAGCCAAACGACAACAGACACGGATCGGAGAAGGCGGGGGTCGATCCTGACATTCGCATAGTTCTTAATGCCATATAGAATGTATAACATGAAACATCTGCAAGTGTTTGCGCTTTTGGTTGATATCTAAATTTTCTCATTTCTTCTGATTTGTGTGACAGCACACAGGTAGAAGATGCCGCGTAAGATTGGCTTTGTAGTGGTCAGCTCCTCCAGTCACGAGGACAACTTCAGCGCCAAGGGGCTAATGATTCATGTGCCCACAGTCAGTGGCTGGAGGTCAGCCAGGTAACACATGCCCTTATTCTGCTTGCGTGACCAGAGGACATTCAAGGTGTTGTAGGTGGCGTATGGAGACTGGATGGAGAGCTCCTTCCTGTGTAATCTCGAAATGGGATACTTCATCTGAAGTGTTCCAGTCAAATGTCTAACTCTGTTTTTAAATATCATGTTTCTATGTATTGATTTAGGACTTCATAAGCACAGGATACTTTTAAATCTACCTTTAAAAATTCTGTTTATAAGTAAATTAGTGATTTTTGCTGAGAATTCAGGAAGAAAGTAAAATATATTGAAGCACTTCTTTTCTAACTAGAAGTTATAGCAGAAACAATACGCCGTGCATTCTTTTCTTTCACTGGGCTTGTTTGGCTACCTGAGGGAAAGTTGGGGGGGGGGGCGAAGGACTATGAGTTTTGTTGGTAATTGCACCCCCTGCTGGGCACAGGCTCTGCCCTTATCCCCAGGAGGTAACCCTGCGCCTTGTGGATCGGAGCCGTGTGCGGAGGGTGCAGCTGCTGGCCCACCAGCACCTGATCCCCTCTAAGATCGAGTTCCACGTTGGCGATAGCCCGATCGGACCAGGCCACTTCCACAGGCTCGGGTCAGCTCCCTCTCCATTATCTGCGTCCTGGACATCCACAGGTGTCTCTAGACAGTCATTACAGTCAGGCTGTTACTTGATAGCCACCCTCCCCAGACACAGTGGAATTTCCCGTTTCCGTGCTATATTTGCATATTTAAACAAATCCTGTACCATTAATACAGTCTTGTAAATTAGCGTGCTAATGATTTCAGTGCAGCACCAATTTAGAATTTCAATTTTTCCACCCTTGTACAATTTTTTTTATAGTGTTTTTGAATAGACATACAATCCATCATGTTTTAGGGCTCTTCGAAGCTCTGATATTTTTGATGAACGACTCTGCGTCTAGGTATGTGTCACTTTCGGACAATGAGAAAACGGGCTATAAGGCACGGGAATTGAAGTCTGTTCATGTGGATGCTGTCGGAACACACCTGAGGCTGACTTTCCACAGAAACTATGCCAGTCCCCATAATCTGTACAATCAGGTAAAAACCGCATCAAGACTGGAGCCAGTTCAAAATTTTATGCTCAAATTCAGTCTATGCTTTTAGATTTCAATTTGTAATGGAAACAAGTTCAGGATGTCAACACACAATACTATAACACCAAAATGCAATTTTTTAAATACAGTGGAAACACTTATAGTGATCACATCTGTCTGGGTGAAATTGACTACTACAAGGGGATGATCATTATAACCATTTTTTCTAATTCTTTACGTCTCAGGCAGATTACTATCTAATTCACATTTCTATATTTATTATATGAATATAAGGTTAAAAAAAAATGGACAATGTTACTATGTACTTAATTTTATTGACAATGTCAAAATACAATACAACTGTTTCAAATGTTTTTCAAATTTTTCAAAAACTGTATATAATTTAAACACACTATAATACAGTGCAGTACTGTACATAAATATTCTATTCAATTCAGTTTTATCTATGCATCGAATTTTTACAACATTAGATTGCCTCAAAGCACTTATTCTAGTTTTGCTGCATATATCTAGTTGGCTCGGTTTTGCAGTTTATGATAAGACCGTCATGATTTCTGTGTGTGCAGCATTAGCCTCGGGTAGCTAGCAGAAGTAGTCAGGTTACCATAAGGCACGTAGGCTATCACAGTAAAGTAATAAAAATGACCACAGTTTTAATTTTTCCATATGTTGTCACGTTTAAAAAGACGCAAAAATGAACACTGTAACTGGACTAATTGATTACTATGAGCAAATTATTTAAACAGTATTTATACAGGAATGATTCTGTTCCAAGCTTTCATATAAGCTCATATATTCATATAAGCTCATATAATTCATATAAGCGTTTGATCACTATAACCGTGATCACTATAAGTGGTTTCCACTGTATATAACACTGTTACCTCCAGTTAACATATGTGTCATTTAAAAAAATATTTTATAATTTAAATTAATTCTCTGAAATATATTTTTGGGCATAACAAATGTGACATTCAGTTAAGCTTATCTTATAATATTGTAAATTATGTGTGCTATAAAAATATAAAAAAAGTAGATTTTTTTCAAAGTAATCATTTTAGTCATATTTTATGAGTAGCACATATAAGAATGTCTCTCACCAAAATGATATATGATATGTGAAATGAATTAAAAATTATTAAGTCATCACTACAGTTCAGAATGAAGCCTAACCCTATTTAGTACTATAGCTGGTGTTTGTCTGATTTCAGGTTGCACTGATTGCTGTGAATGTTCTGGGAGATGCAGTGGATAGCGATTCGGCGGATGTGTTTGTAAGTGTTTCCTAGCTGGTCTCCATCGATGCTACAACTGTCAGCCTCCTAGGGGGCGCTTTTTGCATTGTTTAACTTTGTCAATGCGGTCGTGATTTTGCCTAAGAAATAGTTTTTAATGCTTTTTGTAATGGATTTTTAGGTTAGACAAGAGTTTAATTTGTGGAAGGACAGTCACAAAAAAGAAACTAAAATTTTCAACAAATCTGATTTCATTAACAAGTGTAATAACATTGGATCATTATAAAGATTTCTTTGACATAATCTCAAGCTAATACAAAACCTTTGGGTAACTTTATTCCAGAACATTCAGTAATCAAAGTTATATTAAAGCTAGTTACCAGGTAATATAATGATGCTGCAACTTTATAGGCAAAAGTCGGAATTTCTCAGACAATATGTAAATCTGAAATGATCTGACATTAGCCCCCACGGCTCATCTGAGTGGGCTGTAGGCATGGGGAAGAATGTGGTAATATGACTCAGAGAGCTGCGTTATCACACAGGACGTGAAACAAGGGTAATCCGATCAACTTGTAGATTGATGTCTCTTGGACGAGATAGATTCTTTATTGCAGAATGGATTTCAGCTAACAATACCGTCATTGTTTCCACATAATGCAACTCTAGTATCATAACAAGGACTGCATTTTCTATAGCTTCTGAGGATTGCAAGTATTCTGCTTTTCTGTCGTTATAAATGTTTTATTTATTATCTATGATATGCTTTCAGGTACCTGAGTAATTTTTGTTATGTTTTGGAACAAAATTAATATAATGGGAGATCTTAAATCCCAAAACAATTGTAGGTTCCTTCGTGCTCAAGAAAACAAAAGCTGTTAAGTTAGTAACATCACAGTAATTTTTTTTATTTGAAGTACTGTGTAAATGATTTTTCTGTGAGCAAAACAGTAATAATTTTCCTAATGTGTTTAGATGATAGATTTAGTACAGTTTTAGTCTGCCATTAACTGTAAAAACAATTGCCATTGTTTTTTTTCTCCCCAGCCTACTACAGATCAACTGATCGAGCATTATCTCAACAATACTCAGCAGGATATGTCACTAAATGGGACATATTTAGGGTAAGACATAATTGAGTTGTATACCGTCTGAAGATGTTTATCTCTACACATGTGATCAAATCCAAGAACAGAATGACTTGTAGGCATGAGAACTGTGTCTTTCTATGGTGAGATGTTGGCTGCATGGCTCGTAGAGAGGCAGAACGTACATTCGCTCTCGCGGTCCCCACAGACAGAGGGTCAACTAGCCGGTTTACCCGCAGGGTTTATTTAATGCTGGGCTCAGAAATGGGAATGAAAAGGAGAAGGTCAAACACATAGCCTTATTTAAGTAAGCATTAAGGTCCCAAGTGTACAAACACATTTAAATATACTTGTGTCTGTCAGTACTGTGGTTAAGGATAGAGACTAAAGATAAGTTTACCTCCTAGGTGAACCGTGCTGTTGTACCCTTTAGAAAAATACTTAATCTGAACTGCTTCAATAATATACTGTAGCCTTGGCGGGATGGCTCTCCGTAGCGGAACCCGTTAGCGTTTCCATAGCGGAACCCATTAGCCTTTCCATAGTGGAACCCGTTAGTGTTTCCATAGCGGAACCCATTAGCCTTTCCATAGTGGAACCCGTTAGCGTTTCCATAGCGGAACCCATTAGCCTTTCCATAGTGGAACCCGTTAGCGTTTCCATAGCGGAACCCATTAGCCTTTCCATAGTGGAAC